CCCCCCCCCCCCCCTCCCCCCAGGGGCACATGAACGAAGTGACAGGGTTAGACTGGTGCCGCGCGGAGCCTCTGAAGCTGGCCACGAGCTCGGACGACGAGACCGTGAGAGTCTGGACCATCGACCCCCTCCGCGTCAGGCACCACTCGGCCTCTGCCCCTGTCGTCGCCGTCGCCGGTGCTTCCGCTCGATCATCGGGAGGAGCGTTGGGCTCCGGCCCGGCCGTCGTAGGTGGTTCTTCTGTTATCGCGGGTAGCGGTAGCGGCGGGGGGGTGCGCTCGTACCCTTGCCACGGCAAGTTCGGAGAGGGCGGCGCACGCCGCGGCGAGAGCTCGCTGTGGAGACGGAGGGCCCCCGTGGGCAATCGTGACGGTGATCAGCACGGTCATGGTGGTGATGTTCGTGGGCCCCTTGTTTCCCGGGGTGATGGGTCCCGGGGACAGCAGCAAGTCCGGGGCGACGGCGTGGAGCGGCGGCGTGATGGTGATGGCAGCGGCGGCAGCCAGGGCCGGGACCACCAGAGTCACAGCCGCGGTACGGGCGAGAGGACCGACGCGGCGGCTAGCGACGGCGGCGGCGGCGGCGGCGGCGGGCCGCCTGCCGTGTTCTCTCCCTGTTCGCCCAACAAGCGACCCGGGCCTTTTTCTTCCAGGCCCGCGGAGACAGCTGCCCGCGCCAAGGGCGCCACTGCTGCTGCTGTCGGTGGCGGTGGTATCGCCACCGCACCCGCGCACGGCGACACCTCGCAACGGTTTCAAGCCTCGTCGAACAACGGCGGGACGACCTCTGGAGAGGACACTCCGGACGAGAACGTGGACTCCCGGAGGGCAATTGACGCTTCTGCGGAGCCCCCAACCCCACCAACCACCGGCTCGGGCGTGGTGGCTGTTTCGAAAGGGCAGCAGCAGACGGGAGGGTCAAGAAAAGGGGGTCGTCGCGGAGTCATGGAGGGGCTGCCCAGGGGGGTGTCCTCAGCCGCGTGGCACGGGAAAGGCTTCCCTGAACCAGGGCGAGGGCGTCGGCCGCGGCAACACCCGGACGGAGAGCAGCAGCAGCAGAGGCAGGAAGCTACCGGTTCTCGGAAGAAGGCGAAAAAGGGGGCCTCCGGACAGCAGTTGCCTCGAGAGAGCCACACCCTGATGGCGTTTTGGTGCCGGGGACGGGGGGGGGCGTCGAGCGGTGTGGGGCAGGGAAAGGCGGGCTCGAGCTGAAGGCTCTTCGCCGAGAAATAAAAACGAAATGATGGGGGAGGGGAGTCTTGTGGTGTGGTGCGATGTGTGTACATTTTTTTATTGTCTTTTTAGCCGAAAGTGGGGGGTGGTTTTTCTACAACAGTACTGCTTATGCCTTGATGACAGGTAGGCGTGGAGATATTCGATGCACGATTTGTCCCAGTGTTTACCGAGAGGCCAAGGCAGGCGCGGTCGCGTGTGTTTGTGTGTGTGTTCACTCCATCGTATCTCGGTGTGTGTTAGCCGGGGTTACATGGGAAGGTCACACGGGACCTTTTTTCTTTCATTTTCTTTGCCCACCTTTCCTGCGGCAGCTCTTCTCGCCGCACTTAGTTTTCATCGCGAGAAGCTGCCAGCTCTGAATCGAGGCCACACCGCGGGTTGTTTTTTTTTTCGCCGTGGAGAAGACCCCCATTTCCGGTCGGCCTTTTTTCTTTTTTTAATATTTTACTACTCGTGGTGGACCGACAGCATCAGGTGTCGGGGCAAAGTTGATGATTGTCTCACGCTTTGTTCCACACCCTCGCCCCTGGCGGCGGCAGCCCAGCACACCCGGGACGGACGTTTTTTTCATTTTTTTCTTGTGGCGTGAGTTGTGTTTTTTTTATGGTCGTGTGTCGGTGGCGAAGATAGATAGATGTGGCGAAACACCTCTGGAGCCGTACGCCGCTCCCTTCTGTTCGTCATGTGGTTGGCGGAGAAGAAAAAGTCGAAGTTCGCGAACGCACGACCTTCCCTCGCCATCTGTTCGCCCCAATGCCGTATGTATGACACCTCTCAAGGCGCCACGCCAAGGTTATGCCCTGCACACCTCGTAGGTTGACTTGTCTTTCTGGTGAGATTTGTTTTTAGTCTCTCATGTAGTTTAGGTTGTTGTCGGTGCTGATTGCGTGTTTATTGGGACCCGACTTTTCTAGATGGCACACGTTGCGTTGTCAGAGTCTGCAGGCCTACACCCGGTCGAGGCTAGGACAAGGTTGGTTGTCGTGGAGGGTTGTGTCTTGTTTCTTGTTTCTTGTTGGTTCGAGGATCCGTTCGATGTGGTAGCTACACGATGGCCGTGGGTCGCCTCCGTCAATCGCCGCCATCGGCCGCCCTTGTTTTCTATAGGACACAGGCCGATTGGTGGTATGGATTAGCTGGAAATTATGTACGTCTATCTGTGGTGTTCGTGGTTTGAATGTTGCCGCTGTGTACTTCATATCTTATCGCTGGTTTGTGTGGGCACTCTGTGTAGACTAGACCTTGTCGTTCGTTCCGCAGTCATGCCGCGTCGTGCCATGGTGTGCTGCGTTCCTACTCAACGCTTTGTGCGTTTGTGCAAACCTTGTCTGCAGCTACATACAACGTGGTAAGGCACATGAAAAGAACGACAAAGGGAAGCAGGTATGATACGATAGGCATCTGGATCGTGTTGTTTCTAGACCACCCTCTGCGGGTTGCATTCACCTGTTGCATGTTTCCCGCAAGCACGCCTGATCTTCGGCGTGTCTCGATAAAAAGAAAGTTGCTGCCACACACGGCCTACAGTACAGTAGAAAAATCAATTATCATCATGGCGTGATTTTGGATATGCGTGTCGACGTAGCGGTGCGAAGGTTGTAGGCACGTGCGCTTCGAAGTAGCTCGACTCCACCGGGCGACGCACTCGGGAGACCCTATCCCGATGCGGGACCCCCTATGCACTCAGTTTTCTCGGTCTTGCGTGCTGTTTGCAATCTGCGGAGCCTCACGTGGAGCAATCAGGAAGAAAGAAGCCCCAACAGGGGATGTAAACTAGCAGCACCCATTGCGCGTCACACAAATGGACACGAGTGAAAATTGCTTCACGGGGAGGAGCGACACTCGACTCCGTCCTGAATATGGTGGGGAGAAATACCGCGCAGTCTCCGCGGCACGAAGGTTGCAACGCAACCCCTATAGGTACTGGAAGCGACAGGAACGGAGCCATCTGATGCCGAGGGGACGGGTCAGGAATGAATACCCTTGATGGCGGCCGTGATTGCGAGCAAAGCACATTGATAGCTCTGTGGGACGTTTATCGTGTCAGCAAAGCGACCAAACCCGCGGTACGACGGCAAAACCTTTCTTTGGCGGTCACTCGATGAGGGGAACATTGCCGACGGTCAGTAGGTTCAAAACGAGTATTTTCATTGCCACCTTGACGCACGCTTGGCGCCGTTCGCATGTGTCACCGGCTGGCATGAATGCATGCCGGCAAAATTGCGCCAGCGGTCCGCAGTAGCGCCGAGTTGGTTTCCGTTGAACAAGAAAAAACAAAAGAAAAACTTGACAATGATTTTTTTTTTCTCTCGATGCGAGTTTTCGTGTCGTCTGCAGGGAATCATCAAGCAGTCTCTGCGCGCCCGTCAGGACGATTCCACGCCCATTGATTCCCTGCACCCGGAAAGCCAACATGAATGCAACCGCCAGCCTGTTGAAATCTAAATACCGACCCGAGGATCGACAGACACAATGGCAAACGAGGACCTCAAGAAAACGGCCGCCACGTAATTGGCGTCGACACAGGAGTTCCTCCCCCCTCCTTACAGACAAGGCGCAAGGCCACGGCGTAAGGCCGCGGTCAAACCGCCTCGAGATATCACCGTTGACCAGAATGCCTTCGCAGGCAAACCTAGCAGTAAATGCCGGCACTTTCTACACTGCTACAGTAATTTCTCTACAACAACTTACTTGCTATTGAGACTTGAGACACTGCTGTGGGGAATGCATGCCATCAGAAGGATTGGCGAACACAGAAGCACAACACAGGTCTAACACGAAAGGAGAAAAAGAGCTTCGTGGACACGCCGAGGCAAGAAGCACCACCCACGGGAAGACCATCCGGGTCACCCCTGTCCACCGCCGGTGCCTCCTTTCGATCCACCGCGAAATATTTTCCATTAGAACTGCGCTGTGAAGACAGGGTTGTGTCTGCAACGTCACATCGACGCGAAAAAGACGTTGTCGCAAGGGGGGGCAGGGCGAGTGAAAAACAGCGACCCCCAAAAGGTTGGTTGTCGACGACGCAAAAAAGCCTTGAGCATGTAGCGCTGGTAAATTCGCACGCCAACCACGTGTCTCCAAGCGCTCCGACCGTCGTATGTGTTGTTCAAATGTACAACACACAAACCATGAATAACGGCTTTCAACTTGACTCGCAATCTGCGCCCGCGTTTCCTGTTCTGCTACCCCACGAACGGCATAAGGTACGACGGAGGAGCGAAGTCTTTGCTATCGGTAGTGACACCCCGTAAACATCGCAAGACCATGCTACGTACAGCCGTTGCAATTGGGGAAGATCGCGTCACAGTAGTAAAGGAACCTTGGTTATTCAGTATAAGCAAAGCGGGGGAATGTCGTCCAAACCGCACCCCCTCTGTATTGTTTCTACATTCTCGGGCACCATGCCTCTGACAAAACAAATGGTGTCCGCACAGCGAGGAAGACCGTGCTGCCGTTCAAACAACAACAACAACAAAATCAACGAGTTTTGCCATGACAGCGTGCGGCGAGAGTAGCGGTTGGTTTCCGTTCTTACCTTGCGATCCGTGGGCCCTCCTCATCGTACTGTGCCTTCGTGCAGCAGACACGGTAGAACTCCGGCCCTGAGGCCACCAAACTCCCCCCGAACCACACTGCATACCTGTCAAACGGGGGCGACGTTGTTGTTGTTGTTGTTTTCACACATAAAAACCGTTCCGGTCCCTGCTCCGTACCTTCTACCATCCGTACCGGTCCGACTGACGCGGATGCCAAACCGTGGAACAAATTCCGCGCGTCAACAAAAAAACATCGAAGTTGCGAGAGGGCTGCATCACGTACCCTTTGCTCTGTGCCAAGGGAATCATCACGGTGAGGCGGGGACTTGTGCTGATGCTAGGGAAGGCAATAACTTTTTAAGCGGGTATCACGCATGCAACATCACTCTCTGTGAGCGCTTTCTCTTCGTGTTGGCATTATGGACGTTTTGATTTGCGTGTGCGGCAATAAGATCATCCACATGTGCGTGACTGGTCGTTCCAGTATACCTGCAGGAGCGGACAACCTGAACAACGTTCATCCTTATGCATAACCGCCAATTTCCAAAACATCCTTCAAACGCAATCCGCGGCCGCAGGCATCACGAAACAGCTGCCTACCCCAAACGAAGCGACGCCCAGCCAAACGACAGACAACGCAGCAGACCCTTCGGCGCATAGCGCCCTGTACCCGGGTTACCACGTGGAACAACGGTGCCTGTGGCTGGAAGAAGTTGCCCTAGCGACGTACAGTAGCTCACCTTTGCAAGGCGTGTCCGATGACGTTCACCTCGATCGCCGACGCCTGGACAACCTCCTTCAAACCCGCCTACACGAGAACGCGGACAAAAAAAAAAAGAAGCAAAACGACGTCCACGCGGGGAGAAATATTGTTGTTGTTGTTGTTGTTGGTGCTATTGATGTTGATGTGTTTGTTGTTGCTGCTGGTACTGCTGCTGCGTTTCCCTTTGAGAATCCTTTGGCCGACCCCCCACCACGACACACCTACACCATCGGCCCGACAACTTTCAAAGACAGGTCAAACATCTCCCTTTGCACACCAACATGAGGCGGGGGTAGTGCGAAGAAAAAACGACTTGACGAGGAACAGTGCCTGAAGAAACAAACGGCAGCAACAACACCACGGGCAGGCGTACATCGTGGCTTCCGCTGTCTTGAACAACGGACAAAATCAGGAACGGCGACGTTCTTTTCCACTGCCGACTCCGATGTGGTGGCCACGCACTACACAACTCGGCAGTTGAGAAATCGATGTAACCTCGAAACACTAAAAAAAAAACTGACAACTTTGTAAGCCCGGCAAAGAACCCCTAGATACAAAAAGAAACTATATTGCGGCCGTTTGTAGCGAGGGCCAAGATGCTGTACAGTGCCAGCGTCAACTGAATGACATGACATGACACATACCTTCATGGTGATGAGGCGGTTCGCCTCCATTCTAGTGTCGGCCCTCCTCTTGATGTCTCTCTGCAGACGCCGACCGAAGTCCTTGAACATGGTCGACCCTCCAGACAGCACAATGTTCTGGTCAAGGGCGAAACAAGGAGCGGGCGGTGTGCACCCGGAAGGACAAAAAACGAAAAAACGACGTTTGGTGATCGCTACAGTAGCAGAGAAAAAAAAAAACAAGAAAGAAAACGACGCTAGGTGATCGCTACAGTAGCAGGGATAAAATAAGGGAAAGAAAACGACGCTGGGTGATCACCGCAGCGACACAGAAAAAACAACAAAAATGGGGTAAAAAAAAAAACACTGGGTGATGACCGCGGCAGCGCGTTCAAACTGCTTGGTGGCCCTTCAGTACGAAGTACGCAATAGCAGGGCAGTACAGTCGTAGGCGCGACTCGACAGAACGGTGTTCAAGGAAAAGTCGTCCCTGCTTCGTAAGGATGCCCCATGGTTCTTCGATACGAAAACGGTCCTGAAAGCCAGCAAGTGTCCTTCAGACTACACCCCCCGATTTATTCTTGCACTCTGCCGGGCACCGTATGCATACTTCTGAAAAAAGTAATTTGTCCTCAAAGCGGGACGACTGTATGGGCAAGAGGAGCGCAGCAAAAACGGTGGGGGACACGCAAATGGTACTTAAGACGTGCTGCCTGCGAGCCCCCCCGCGAGTACAAACAACATGTTGCCTGATACGACTGATCGCAACAGCGTCAGTAACCGCATAAGAGCACACGACAACACAACAATACCTGGCAAAGCTACAACCCCCCCCCCCCACCAAAACACGTGGCCGAGTCCGCAACCGCACGAACAATTCCTCGTAAACCACAAAACACCACCACCACCACCACCACCACTGCCACCAACGACAGAAATGGCCGTCAGCTAGTCAGCCAATCAAACAAACCGGCAAAAAAATGGTAAAGCCATAAACAACACCGCCAAAACCACCACCACCGCCACCACCACCACCACCACCGAAAAGGCAATCAATCAGCCCATCAATCAGCCAATCACCTTGTAGAGGCCTCTCCGCGAGTCGATGGGACACTTGAGGATGGCCTCGTCCACCACCTGCGGCAGCGGCGTCAAGAAGTCGGATGACACGATCTCCGGAGAGAAGAACATTTCCGGACCGAGGAACCGCTCGTACCCCACGTCCGCCGAGTACTCCACCCCGTTTTTCTGCGCTCGCAAACGGACGAACGAAGCATTGGATACGGTGGGCGTCAAGTCAGCGTGCGCTGCTCTCACAAGAATGGCAATGAACGAAGCATTGGATGCTGTTCTCAAAAGAATGGAATGAACGAAGCATTGGATGCTGTTCTCACAAGAATGGCAATGAACGAAGCATTGGATGCTGCTCTCAGAAGAATGGCAATGGACGAAGCATTGGATACGGTGGGCGTCACGTAAGGGTGCGCTGCTCTCCAAGAATGGCATTGGATACCGTGGGCGCCAAGGCAGCGTGCGCTGCTCTCAGAAGAATGGCAGTGTTGCCACAGGCAGAGCAAAGAGGAAATAGTAACGACAGGAAATATTGACGAGGGGGGCCTACGCGACACAGAGCACGTTATCCCCGGCACCGTATACTCCCACAAAAGAGGATAGCAGCAGCAAGTGGCTACACTCTTGTAGGGAAATAAAAACATGGTGGAACAACATAAACGTACAGTAGGCCAATCTAACAAGGTCGGCCTGCACAACACACAAAAAAAATTATCCTTGCAAGGCGGTTCCGAAAACAAAAGTAGGCATAAGGCATATGCCACTTTCGTGACAGCTTTACGTGGCTGTTTCCCCCCGGACAGCAGAGCACTGTGGTAGCTCTGCACAAGGCTCAGAGGGCAAGCCACCATCATCTACTCGGCCGGTTGTGCCGTAACTCACGCGTACATCACGTACTGCACATCGGTGGTGCAACTGATTCGTGGGCCGTTGTTTTTCACCAATCGCGCTGTCTCGTCCCATAGCACCTCATTTAAGCTGTAACGCGTGCTACGTGTGCCGATAGAAACTAATGAAACTCACAAAACCTCTCTCACCCGTTTGCCGGTGTACATGCGGAAAAACTTTCTGGGGTCCTTGTCGTACTTGGAGTACTCCTTCGCCAGGTCCGGTGCACAGTAGCAGTGCTGCTCCTTGATGCGCCTTTAAGAAATCACGCAAAGGAGCAGAAAATGGTTTCAAAAATCCGCGTAGCAGTACTGCTCCTTGATGCGCCTTTAAGAAATCACAACAGAAAAAGGAGCAAAAAATGGTTTCAAATACTCGTGATAAAGTACACACATTTGCGACGACGCTCCGCATTTCAATGAAAGGGCGAACCCAAGATCCGAAGACCAGAACTCGACCTCCAAAAAAAGGGGGGGCTTCATCGCAAGCGTCCGTTTGGTAGGTAGAAGACAGCGCGGGGTTTGGTCGCAATGCGGCGCCGCAGAGCAATAGAAGAAGTAGCAAATATCCCGCAGGGCCACTTGATGATGTAATGATCTCTTGACCGCTCCGTCCCTTGGAGTTGAGGGGGTTCCCGTCGTCGATAACGCTTGCTGACCCCTCACGTATTACAAACTTGGTTTCGAGAAAACATGCATTCTGTTTATAAAAAAAACATGCGTAAGGGCTGGGAGTGGTCGAGAAGGTTGCCTGGACTACCTCGGTTTCGAGAAAATGGCGTGCATTTTCGATGGACGTGCTTAGGGGCTTGGAGTGCCCGAGGAAGTTGCCTGGACTATTCGTACGGGGCAATATGGTTCCTTGCCATGTTGTACGGGGTACCTCGCGGCATCGAGCAAGTCTTCCGGCGGGATAGGCTCCTTCCGGTCCCTCAGCATCTCCATGATGAACTGAGTGATATCCCTGTGAGTTTTCGCACACGCGCAAGGTCAAAAAGATTAGCAGCGTCAACAAGGCGTCGCTTGCTTGACAGACTTCTCCACAATTCGAGCAGCCAACAAAAACGCAACGACCTGGATCTGTGCGGGTATCCATACTACCACAAGTACACGAACACGACATCCATCGTGCAGTCGAATTACACGGCGGATGCCACTTAAAAAACCGCGTACACCTCGTATCCTAGCGTGTGTTCCCGCCGTTGTCTTGATTCACTACATATCACAAGACTCACGTCTCTCCATGGGTCAGCCGTGTAACGCGGAAAAAAAAAACAAAAAACACACACTCACACACACTTATCGCTACGGTAAGGTCTTTAAACCGGAGTAGCGTAAACTCCCCCATGACGCTCGGTCACAGGGTCCCAGATCGTGGCCTATAGAAGCAGTTCCTGTTCTCCACCGCACTGAGACTGAGGTATTTGATTGGTCAGCCGGTTAGCGCGGTCGATGCTAATAATAAAAAAAGTAAGAAAGACGCACACACTCACTCACAACCGTACATCGTATCAACACTACTGTGGCGCGGCAAGGCTCTCCAGAAGCGAACACATCCCGCGCCCCCGAGGAAAAAAACAACACCCGCCTAAAAAGATTATCACCATGGCATGCCAGGACGAACGAACTAAAATAAAAGAGCAACACAACGACCCTACTCCCACACAGCGCATGTGGGAACAGGCCACCCCTACACACGACCAGGTCCACCCCACCCTGCCCCGTTGGGCCGTGTCACGCACACCTTCCAGCGAGCGGGATGTGCTTGATGCAGCTGCCGATGACGTACCCCTCCGCTACGGGGATGATGTGCGTGACACCGTCACCGGCATCGATCACCGTGCCCGTGAGGGTGCGCTCGGCGACCTGTCAGCCACAGCAGCGGAGCACGAAGAAAAAACAGAGGAAAAAAATGTCACCCAACGTAAAGTTACGCTCGGTCAGTCACAGCGGCGGAGACAAAATAAAAATAAAAAAACATTATCTACGGTTGCGGGTGTTGCTGTGGCTGCAACTGCTGCTGTGGCGGAGACCTTGACTTGTTGTCCATATTGTTGTTGCTGCTGCTGTTGTTGTCATTATTGTTCCACCCTACGTTGTCGTCATCATCGTTGTTGCTGGTGCCATGACCGTACATACTGCAGTGTACCGGTTGGCGCCAAAGCAGAGGGAAAAAACGAACATGAAGCAATCGTAGTCTCTCCGCACACGTAGCTCAAGAACGACAATCAGTCCTACGGCCCAGTGAACATCAAGGAACAACACAGGCCAAAGAGCCAAAAAAACACAGCATGGTGTGCGGCGGCGGCGGCTCACCGATTTCGCGCTCCAAGAGGCCGCGAGCGCCAAGACTGCCTGTACCGCGATGTACAGGCCAGGCACCCCAAAGGTCTCGAACATTATCTCCGCGGTGTACTCCCTGGCAAGAGACAGCCGCGACAACGGCAAGTCGAGCAAGTGTGTGCCGTAAGAGGCGAGCGAGCGAGAACGAGATATGAGTGATTTGCCATTAGTGGGTTTACGTACATGCCAAGAGACAGCCGCGACACCACCAAGTCGAGCAAGTGTGTGCCGTAAGGAGAGAGAGAGAGAGAGAGAGAGAGAGAGAGAGAGAGAGAGAGAGATCGTGGACAGTACAATTTCAGCCCCTGAGAAAACAATGCCATTGCTCCTGAAGCGACGTACTGTAGCGGCATTGAACAGAGGTAGTGCGGTAGAACGATCCGTTCACTTCGCGGGCCTGGCGCTCATCGAAAGTTAAGATTGGGGCCTTACGACCGCATCACGTCTGCTCATCGATTCGAGACGTCGGTCGGCTCCACCGACTATGGGTAAACGTTTACTCGGCTCCCACTGATGATTAGTCGACAGCGATGCCACTGCACGCCCCCAGTACGTGCCCACAACACCCGCGTTGGCACGTGCAGTTATCAGTTATCGTCAGGCGCGGCTTCGGGGGCACATCTGATTCAAGGCTGTCTGCCCGCTTTGCTTTGCACCTACACTTACAGCAATACTTGGGAGTACCCTTCCTTGTGCCCCCGGGGCAGCTGTGGCTCGATCAACGTACGGCACATCGCAACGGGCGTTGCACGGCAGAGACACGCTCTCGTCTAGGCGCGATCTACGGCGCCCGCGAAACGCCCAGACTTGGACTTTCATCATCGGCCCTACATCCCGAACGCGTCTGACACTCGTTTTCGCCACACGTACGTATCCGTTCTAGTACAGTCGGCGGGCCCTCTATAGTGCCGGTGTATGTGCCCAAGCGCGTTCAACCGGGCACTCACCCTTTCAAATGCATTACAGTGGGGTGCCCGGTATAGTGCCGGTGCCCGGTATAGTGCCGGTGCCCGGTATAGTGCCGGTGCCCGGTATAGTGCCTGGGCCCTCTATAGTGCCGGTGCCCGGTATGGTGCCTGGGCCCTCTACAGTGCCGGTGCCCGGTATCGTGCCGGTGTTTTCGGCTCACACACACTGAAATACCAAGTCGTTCTGCACTTTGAACAGTGCCAGTGTCCGGATTAGTGCCGGTAAAATCTCGGGACACACCCCGGCACTGTAGAAGACCCCCCACTGTGTATCCATCTTTATTAGTCCATCTGTGCCAGTCCATTTCACCCGCACAATCACCGGGCACCTGCACAATAGAGGGCCCCCGACTGGGGGCCCCGTGAGTGCAACACGCGCACCTGTTCTCGGGGGTGTTGAGGGGGGGCTCCGTGAGCATCACGTGGTGCTCCTCGGGCTCGCAGCGGAGGTACTTGAACAGGCACTGCTGCCACATGCGCTCCATGTTGTCCCAGTCCTAGATATCATAGCCGCGGCAACCCCGTTCGGCAACAGCAGCAGCAGCAATGGCAACAAGCGGCATGCGGGATCATCAACAGAGGGTGGCATCGACAACACAGCAGTCCTCCTCGGCGCCATGCGTCGGTCGGTGATGGCATGCGACGCGGAACCACACAGCAGCAGCGTCAAACACCGAAGAAAAATCGACCGAAAAAAAACATCGACCGAGAAAAAACAGTGACAATACCTAGAAGACACCGAGAGCAGTACCATACATACGAATGCAGCCATGCCTCGAGCAAGAGAGTGGAGTGTAGAAACACTCAAACGAAGCCGAAGCAGCCGCTCCAAAATCAAACACGCCGACAAAAAGAGCAAGTGGAGGGTGCACAGAACGCTGGCGACGATATTGTTCCAAGAAACAAACAAAAAAGGGGTCAGAAAAATAGACACGTGCGTACCTCGATTAGACCGTGCCGGATGGGATAGGAGATCTGATGTGTGGTGCTGTGCTTGAGAGCGTCGTTCCCCATGTAAAAGTCCAAGTCCTCGAGGCCATCTCGCTTGCCCTCCAGCCCCCCCTGCTCCAACACACCGAACGATTCGGCATAACGCAGACCGTGCCAGGGTGAGGGTTTGAGCAAAAAAGGGACGTGCACGTCGGTCGGTGCATAACGTTGCTGGCTGGTCTTGGGCCTCTCAAAAAACACAGCCAAGTGTAGGACCATGGCTCCGAGGTACGCGGCAACGACGGTCATGAGACAGAATAGTGCCAACGCTTCAAGCTATTTAGCCCTAAATATGGCGTCTTACCGGCAAGGGCAAGAAAAACAGGGACTGCTGGTAAAGCTGCGAAGCTGCAATCACGGAACAATCAGGTGCGGCAACAACTTATGATAGTGCTGCTCTCTACAATCGGCGACGTTTGTGACCCCAGCACCGACCAATTGACCACTAGGCCAAAACCCTGTCGACACGAGAACGCATTATGCCGCATCACAAACAGTGCGCGAGGGTACACGATATCTGCAAACACGTCAGGAGAGCACTTGGAACCTTTCCCGCGCTTAAGTCGCAGTCCACATTCTTCAGCCCACCGCTCGTGAAAAAAAAACTACCGTAGGCTGCATAACGTAAGATACCACACACCCTGGACCGATTTTCGGAGCTCGACTTCTCGGCAGGAAAAGCATTGACGGTGCCGACAATTTGCGGCGTTGCAAGCGTCTCGTCGAGAGCTTTCCAAAAACATATGGTGCGAGGTATGTTGATTTCGGAATCCTCTCCGTCGTGGAGTAATCGAGCTTTGAAAATCGGCCCAGGGGGTGTCAAATCTTATGCAACCTCCCGTACACAAAAATGTCTACCTACACACACGATGATACCGGAACGACACGTGGTCCTCGCGTCCATACTACCGCATCGCATCACATCAGATGTCGTCGAGACAGCCCCGACTGCAGTCCTGAATACATGTACCTATTGCGAGAATCGGCCCTACGCTACGGGATGACGACAAACGACCTCTACCTCCGTGCCACACTCAAACCCACCCTCTGATCCCGTAAAAAAAGGGGGAACATTGGACCAGAGCACGAAGCCGACCTTATCATAACATAAAACCTATTGCGTATGCATGCGCACAGTTCGGAGGGCACCTGCGATGCCTTGAACCCGGCCACTGTGGGCACGATGTACTGCGGCTCCACATTTCCGGCGTATCCCATCTTGGTGTAGCCGGTACCATTGTCGATCACCACAGCCGGGCGCCCGTACGGGTCCGACATGACCTATCACCGACGGTTGCACCGAAAGCATGCGGGCGTGGCGAGCGGACGATGAGCAGTCATAGCAATCAGCCCGGGGTCATGATTCTTAAAGTCACTTGGACGCCGGCGTTTTTCCGTTTCGTCCATCTGGATCGATCGATCCGGCATGTGGTGCAATACTACAGGAGCGCTATACAAACCTGGGCAGTGGGTTGAGAACTGACCAAGATCGATGATAAAAAACTTAACCAAAACGACCGGTGCTCCGCTAAATAACCCCGCAATGAAACCGACGTATATAGGCGATGTTGGGATAAGCTACCCCCACAGAGGCAATAAACGAGCCGAGGGCAACGGGTTCTAGGTGCTGGCGCATTGTGCTCAAGCATGTAACATGTTCGGCGGAAGCTGCAGCACCAGCGAGCGCCTGCGAGCCCATTCGTTCCAACACCGACATCTGCCGTGGACATCGACTGCCACCCCCTCCTGGTGTGCTGTACCCCAACACCTTAAGCTCGAAACAATGGCGTTCGAACAGCACGTTTTCCATGTCCAACTGTTCGCACACCTTTTAACGGTCGCACTGAGCAATTGCAGGCGTTGTGGAACTCTCAGGAACTGCACGCCCCCCCCCCGCCCTCCCTTTACTCTAGAGTACGCCAACGCTGGGTCCGTCGGTTGGTAAAAAATAACCGAACTTCTCATCACAGTCCTCCCTCTTCGTCCACAGCTTAAGTCGAACTTTGCACCCTCAAAACAAAGCCCGGTATAAAAAGCGTCAAGACCGGGGTTTGAACTCAATGGAAGGTTACGAAGACAAACTTAGACAGCAGTTGTGGAGGCAGGCCACCACGGTTCATGCTCTGATACCAGCACGAACGGGGGGGCATTTTGCCGTTGGGCTTGACGAAAAGCTCATTTTCTTACAACCGAAACACCACGGAAGTCGAGACATCAGACCTTGCACAACGCGCGAGGCTGCTCTGGGACAAGCCTACTTTGTATCGACATGGCCGGCTGCATAGCGTCTACGCGGGCTTCTACAAGTCATCTCGCGCCTAACCTGCTGTCGTCGACTCTTGTCCCGGTGCAAGCCTTCTTCGTGTCTGTACCGGTCCGCTGTGGGCAGCAGACCTCTATCGCCAGATCAGATCAGGTCGCCGGGTCGACGCCCAGTTCCCCTTCCCGACGAAGAGCAGAGGCGGGAAAGCAGCTCCCTGCAGGGACCAGTTCCGCCTGCTCCCTAAGAGTATGTCCCCGCTTGTTTGTTGTTACTGACGTATGACGATCAGGGAGGGGCTTAGGCCAGGACAGAGAAACACACGCACGCGTCCATCGGTGTACGCGTTGCTTCTACCGTTGTACGGTATTAGTACTTTTGGGACGGGCCTTTCGTACGCCATCAACAGAGAGAGCGGGCGGTCTTTCATCCAAGGCAGGCAGGCGCGCCAAGAGTTGAGACACGTGGGCAACGAGATGCTCAACTGTTCCGAGACAGAGAAAACAGCCCTCCATACACATGCAGCAACGAGAGACCGACCGCTGGGCGACAATGACGGTCCTGCCGGCATGAGGGTGGCTGTACAGCAGTGTACTCCGGAGCACCGCCGTAGCTCGTTTCAGGCGAATCAACCACTTGATGCCAAAAGCAACTAGAGAGGTGGGGGCAACCGGTGCTTATTGTGACGCCTTTTTCGTTTGAACCGGAGCACGCCCAACAGCAGTCAATGGTGCATCGCTCTGACTGGCTGCAACGCAACATGCCGATATGGTCATTACTCCAGTCACGTTGGGCAGACGGCCTGACCTACAGCCAGCATGTGGAGGTGTGTCAATCGAGCGGAGGCAGTGGACCTCGTCAAGACATAACAGCGACTTTCCGCTGGGCAATCCACAGCAGCGCTGTTTGTTACGATAGACTGGCCTTGAGAACGTTCTTCTCGCACACGATGGATACAATGATGAGGGTGCTTGA